TCAGTCCATCACCGTATTGAATGGTATAATTTTAAACAATAGAAAACTTGGATTTAAACTTACGAATGATCCGATATATTCAATCCAAAACATTTTTCTTTCATCAAACGACTAATCAAACTAGTTGTGTTAGATCTGTAATAGATTGTTACCGTCTTATAAACATTATTTGACATTCTAAATTTCCTTAACCTACCTTTAAATATTTTGATTATTTGCTCATATAAGTCAACGTTTGGTGGCAGTGTTTTGTCAGTCATTAAGCTTACGTTCCATGTTTGAGAATTGCCGACTAACTCTACAATAACAGAATCCAATGACTGCGAAGCCCATTACGAGGCAATCAAATTGTGATAATTATTACACCGGGCGTGACCCGCGATAACAGACAAAGTCAGCCGACGATGTTGTATCGCCACTACTATTTTCTATATTTATCTTGGGTTTCCTGTCATACGATAAAAATATATGTTTACATAACTTTAAATGTATTAATAACGTTGATATGTCTATTTATTTATCTAGATTTGTGCTCAACTAAAATTTTGAATATATTTGAAATAGATTTATTTTAATAAAATGTTTGTTTATAATTTTAATTTCCTTTTAAGTTTATTATTACAACTATAGATTAGGGTTCACACTTTTGTCGGTTCATAGATGCTTATTGTGCATTTTCGATGTAAACTTGTAAAATAAAATAAGTATTGGAAACATTCTTTAAAAAAACTTTTTTAACTGATAATGGTACTTAATTGCAGATACAATATTATATAAAAATATCCACTTCATATTGTTAGCCATGGTAGAGTTACAGCCTAAGTAGAAAGTTAGACTATGGTAGAGTGGTCTCTACAACTCCGCACGGCTCTCCGTGATACCTCTGGGATAAAATCGAATTGCATTGATAATCAATGAAGATTATTAAAATTCTACTTTTTTATAAATATTTGAAATCAATGTCTCATCAAGATACATGTTGACTAAATCCACCGCTGCTTTTATCCAATAACCGTTTATGTGCTACCACATTTTATAGATCGGCATCGAACGACTATAAAGTTTAATTACATAGAAAGACCGGTGGACTACCGTGCGCGGGAAGCTGACGCAAGCGTCACGGAATTAGTCTGTATAATCCGCAAAGCTAGCGCCGGTCGCGCTTCCTGCGATAAGACCCGAGATGCCGCGGTCACGGTTCGTGTACCTGGCGCCTAAATATTGTAAGATATTCTCATCCTCCTTCGTTAGTAACCAATGGAGGTTGATATAAAAACTTAAAATTATCGTATTAGTTTTTGCTTTAAGCGCTAGCAGTATTAACTTACAGCCTAAAATATACGTTTTATTGCTGTGAATAGCATTACTTTTATTTCTGAGAGGGTTGCGAAGCGATTTAAGTAGAATTTTTCAAGTAGAATTGATAAATACAAATCTCTCATAGACTGACTCAATTGTAAACGTAGTAGTAGAAAAGAAAAATAAGTTATTGATTAAACGATTTTGCAACTTATTAACTTTTAATTAATGCCACCGTACCAACTTACAATACCTATTTGGTTGGTATGAATGAAGAATACGAGTACGCAGTGGTGGAGCACGGTTGTATCGTGAACGTGAACAACACGTGGAGAGGGCAGAGGGCCACGCAGGGGCCGGAACGGGAGAGTAGGGGAGAGCGGTTCAGCGCGGGCGCATTCCGTTCGTGACGTCATGCCCACCCAGTGTGGCCAGCGTTCACCGTACCCGAAACGTAGCTATATCTGCCATTATATTGTCCTACGATTTATTTATTTATCCTCCGGAGTAACGAGTCAGATTCGACTACGAGCGGACGCTGGTTCAGCGAACTCGTTCGTCGATTAATGACCGCCTTACTACCGGGGTTTTTAAAACTCGTATTTTTATTTCAATCAGTTTCATTTTACGATTTTTGATTTCATCGATCATTCCCCATCAACAAATTTTCAGTTGAAAATCGTAAAATGTGACTGATACTGAACTTGAATCCAAATTAGAAAGGGTATTAGACTAGCAAATTACATGCGCATTTGCTATTTTAATCCTGCTTTACTTTTTAGGCCTTATTGCTTATTATTTGTCGTAAATATTAATCAAATTATGTTTATATTAAAAGTGCGTTCTAGAATTTAACTGATTTGTGGAAAATTGTTGTCCCCTACATTACGACGGTTTTTATACGTGGTAGAGCCATGCTGCTGCTATATTAAGTGTATTGTTGGAGCACGAATGGGTCGGCTCGACCGGGGAAGGACCACGCTCTCACAGTATACCAGCGTAAAATAGCAGCTTAACGCTGCTGTGTTTCGTATGGTGACTGTAGAGAACCGGAGACCCTTTTTACTGGAACCGAGGCATTCCATCTTAGTCCTCACGGCTGACAACGCATCTACATTTTAATTCGCAAACAAAGATGTAGATGTCTATGGGCCACAGCAACCACTTACCATCAGGTGGACTGTGTGCTCGTTTGTCACTCCTATTTTATAAAAAAAATCTATAAACGACGAGGGTTCAAAAAATGTAATTATGTTTGTAAAACGCCTCTTGTTAGAGAAAATCCTACTTTGGAGTGTGAGAGGGAGGGGGGGGGGGGAGGGGTTAATGTTCTATAATTTTTTTATTGATGTCATATATTTAATTATAAAGGCTCAAAACTAACCTTGTAAAAAACATAGCTTTATGAGAAAAAAACAATTTACTACCGAGTAATGGCCGTATTCAACGCGATACCACGATTGAGTTATTATTCTGCAATTAGTAGGCGTTTCACGAGTTCCCGCCGCGACTCATCTCCAGTCTCCACTCCGCCGCCTCCATTATGTAACAGCAGGGTCTGCATCGTTTTTATTTCATTGTATATGTTAGCAATTCTAAATAAAATACACACAAAAATCTAAATAAATTATTATGTCTGTGCGAATAAATCTATTCAATTGTGCTGTAAAGGACTTTTGATCATATTTAGGTTCATCAATAATGGCCATAACTCTGGCAGCATGAAAAAGTGACTTTGTACCTGTCGCTTTATTTAAATTTCCTTTTTCCAATAGCGATGTTGTATTTTATCGACTAAAATTCGTCACAGTTCGTCGTCACCGTTTCAACAAAGATTCTGGTCAGAATTAAAATGCGGAAACATTAATAACATTTCCTTTTTTGTAACGTTCGTTCTATTTTCTACAAATCGAAACAGTGTTAAGAATCGTGTTCTATACATTGTGTCTACTATAGGCTAAAGCTACAGTCTTAGTTGCTTACATAGTAAACACTTAAGTTTTAGTGTTGTTCATTACTTAAAATATTTGTATATCACCCTAATATGTTGATTTTGTAAAGAAAATAGAAATAATTTGGGTGATATAAATAGTTTAAGTAATGAACAACACTAAAAGTTTATTACATTCGGTTTAATCTTAGGATTAGCATGGAGGCTTAGAATATAGAGAATTTAAAAAATAATTATATAATAATGTTATGATAGTCTCAGTTTGCGTTAATACTTGCCCTTGAGAAACCGCTTCATTGTTTTATAGACTGTCTCTCTCGTCTATTATCTACTTAATCTAATATTATTATACTTATAGTAAAATAAAACGAAGTAACACCTTTTCTTTGTCTCACTTCTGGGCCAGTTCTCCTACTATTTCTGCAGGCTTTCTCAACATCAATATCTTTCTTCAAATCCGCTGTCGGTTGCGTAGCAACTCAACGGTACAAAGTAAAACCGCACTACAAATTTTAATTAGCGGCTACATTGATGTCGGTGAAATCAAACTCCTGGAGGTTTCTCGCGAACTATTACGATAAACGCTACTAGTGATAACCTACTAAATAATTTTTTTTATAGTCACTGAAGCTGTTTGGTCAAAATTTATTGTATAGTGTTTGAAAAAGCAAGAGTTGTTTGATAGACATAGAGTTGTCGAATATTTTTAAAAGAACCTTCGTTAATATTTTTTCAATATATCTGACGAAAAAAAGGAACCTTCGTTGGAAACAAGCATCCAATCCATTTAATGGTATGATAAGATTAACCCTTTCCGTGTCTCGTGAATGTATATAAAATTCCGATTGTTTAATTATTGGATCTACTTCGCGGACAGGGAACCTAGCCCTATATCTCAGGACTAAGATAGAAGGCCAACCAAGACCAACCTAAGAGATAGGACCAACATTAAGCATATTAATTACAAAGGCTATGGGGCCTTTGTAATTAATATGCTTAATGTTGGTCTCTCTGACAATCTTGGCAGACAAGCCTAATACCACAGTGATCGATTGTAGTGGCTCTCTGGCATTTTCGTAGGCGTATTTTGTAATTTGCTCTACTTTTTTTTCATTCATCATCATGTTTATTACTAAGCAGAAGATTTTGTCTTATTTGATTTTGTCTTTGTTGATTTTGCGCAACACATGTTGAACAATTCATAAATTAAATTATAGATGGCGCTGTAATTTAGTTTTTCTCTAACGTGCCATACTGGCGGTATTTTGAGGTTGAGGAATCTATCGCTGCGCGAGATGTACACACGATTGATAGATAGATAATCAGGCGGCTAAAACGCGGCGGGTCCGCAGGCCGTCCCCGGCGCCAGGCCCGCCCGCGCCTGTCATTAATCACAATCAACTGAGAAATTATACAGACGTTTAAAACGAACGATGTTATTACATCCACCGACAAAGCGTTCAGGCAAGCTCCGATGGTTGTGGACGCTTCAAATATTGAATAATACAGTAAGATAAGAGCTACTCGTATTCTAATGTTCGATTACCTCATACATTAGATTTTCTTAATGAGAAATTCCGATTAAAAAGTTAGATCTCTCAAAATTTATTTAAGGCCAGTGTTTGCTTAACACTTCTAATATTTTTGTTTGAAAAATGTCTAAATATTTTGCATATGTTTAGTAACTTTATTTCTGTAAATATTCGTTTAAAATTTTGTCTCACTAACATCTCTCTATTTTACAACACAGGGCAACATCGAGGGTGGTCGTACGTCCCTGTGGATTCGAGCGTGGCTGCAGGAGCAGTTGTTCATATTAGGCTGCTTCCTTCAAGGCGACGCGGGGAAGGTCCTCTTCGTCGCCATTCTCGTGCTCTCCACCTTTTGCGTCGGCCTCAAATCTGCGCAGATCCACTCGCGGGTCGACCAACTCTGGGTACAAGGTACGTGTAACGAATATACGGGCAAAGAAATCTAGTACGTCCGTATACTTTAAGGCCTCTATCGACCGCATACAATCTAAATGTCGTAAAAGCCTATCGTGATAGGAACATTGTGGCACTTTGCGCATCTAGTGGAATATCAATGAATCGTTGATGGGCACGTATGAGCCCGGGCCGCTTCCGTCTCAGCGCGACGTGCTTGGCATTTCATCGTGACTACACAACACGCCGCGGTGTATTAGAGCCCTTATAAGATAAACATGGCAAATTGTAATTCTTCGACGGTTACACATACAAGCGTCCGGTGCGTGAGATGGGGCCTTTGTGTTTTAAATTAGTCTTCATTGCATCGCGTATTAATAAAACATAGCGCGGGTAAAGGGATAATTGTTGACAGAAGCTATTTTATGGTCGATACGTGTTACTTACGGCACGACGGACGCTTTGATTGACAGGACGTTGTCGATATTATTATAATTAATTTCGTTTCACATATGTATCTACTCACTTATTATTCCATCATTTTTATAAAGAAGTGATTAAAGTTCAATTTCGTGAGTTAATAACTATAATTTTCATTAATTGTCTATTGTTATTTGGAATAGGTAGTGTGGTGGTAAGACATTCCGTCCCATGAAAAAGCTAGTGGCACTGTAACAGATGCCTAACAGTAGCATAGTCAAAATAAACTATAATATTATTAAAGGAGACAAGCATCTGTGGAGCAAGAGCTCTCTCGAGAGTTATTAAGGAAAGTCTTTCACAATTGATAAGACTTACATCCTGCAGATGTACAAGCTGATAATACAAACGCTTAAAGCTAGTTTAAAATAAACTTTTATCGAACGTATAAGTTTGTTACATTTTTTTTTTGTTATGAATAAAACCACAGATTAAAAGGCAAATTTGATCATCAATCAACCACAGCAACGATAATATAAAGAAACTGCTAAGCAGTATAAATAAAACTTAAGCGGTGATCAATCAACGTTTGGTTGTAATTGCAACATTGTTGCAAGACACTGGTGTATTCTTATCGGACGATCGCATCATTCCAACCGAATGTCCGCGAAATAGGCACACACTTGCTCCTTTTTGGGTTTCATTATTAAATTTATCGCCGACCCAGCACTGGTTTATTTTGAATCGCTGGGTGGTCGACTCGTTAAATTGCTGAATTGGATAGTTCATTTCGACATGCGATACCTAAATATTTTGGTTATCTAACTAGAACTCGATTGAATCGTAAACAGCAAAGTCATAAGTATGCTCTTGCATTATAATTACATATACAGGTTATAAAAATATACTAATATGTTTGTGTTTAAAATTGTATAATTAATTTAATTCCGTATTTGGGGGTTACGTGCTTATGATAAGGTGTAAAATTAATATTTAACTTATATTGATTTTATAATGATATAGTCGTACTAGTTCTTAACTTAATTATTCCAAAAAATGTTAAGTGGCTATTTAGCCATTGATCTGCAGTGCGATTGTGTGGTCTGATGGGGATCATGATTGGGTTCTTTTTGTCGTTTTGATATTTGATTTCATAGTATTGTTTAAATGTATTAGTAATGATTATAAACCGATGTCTTTTCTATATTAATATCTTGTTTTAGGTTACAAAATATTATCATAATGAAAAAACATGACGAAATGATTATCACCGTAAAATGATTCCTATCAGAGTTACACAATAGCACTGCTGATGTCATAAAAATTACATGGCATTTACCTAAGTCGGCATCGGTAATATGAGAGGAACTACAACCAGACTGATTCCTTTCAGTCCGTTGGGATTTCTAAGTTTGTACTCGTATTATGCTAAAACTATGTGATACGTTAAATCGATCTCTTTGTATGGTATTTACAAACAAATAGTGTAGTATTATCTTTGATCGTTTGATCTTTGATAATGTTATGTAAACTAATTATTATTCTAACAAAATCTTTATTCAACTTTTACGAAAACCCTAATACGAAATAATTAAAAATTTTGTACCGCCGACTTTAATATAAATTATTAAGAATAACTCAAAAACTATTGATCTGACCTTGATTAAATTCATATGGGACCACACGAAAAGTAACAGCTTTCAAATAAAAAAAGAATTATCGAAATCGGTTCACCCAGTAAAAAGTTATGAGGTAACATATGTAAAAAAACAAAAAAAAAATACAGTCGAATTGAGTACCGTCTCCTTTTTAGAAGTCGGCAGATAAGCTGACAAATTCTAAAAAGCCACAAACAACACGGTAATTTCATTTATAATTTAGTTTTGTATTTATAATTTAACTACATTCATCTTTATCTCCATAAATATATAAGATCATTGTTAAATCAACAGTAACGAGTTGTTCACACGAAATTTCTATGTATGACAATGATCCCGGAACTCTAGTTATGGAGAGAGGATGCGCTGTATCCTATGCGGGCGTCGTCCGTCCTGGTGACGGTGCACTGAGAAGAAAATACTAAATTATGTTAGATTTTATTGATGACGTCAATTATTACCGAAGTTGTACTTTTTACTCTACTTGTATAAAATGTTGTATAGAGTCTTTTGTAGAGTAACAAACAAACTGTGGCTAACTCTACATTTATCATTGCGCTGTTACTTCTAAAGACTCAGATGAAATGTATCATTAGTAAAAATGGTCTCCGGCACAAGCTAATATGATGTTTTTCCGGTTCTCGACAGTCATCATACGAAATAACAACATTATACCGCTATATTTTACGAGATAGTCTGAACAAGCGTAGTCCTTCCCTGGTCGAGTCGATAGTCTATACATTCTTACTGCAATTATATTATTACACGCCCGCTAACACCAATGAATTTGTTGAATTAAAATTTTAAGTGCTGATTTATCACGTGCTCGGCGCTGAAAGAAAACATCGTGCATAATGTTACAGAAATTAAAAAAATATTTCGATGACGTGACGTCTGCTAACACGCATTGGGGCAGCGCGACTGACATTTGCTTGCTTAAAAAATCTGGAGACCTGTGCCCAATTGTGGATGTCTAAAGACTGTAACTTTACTGTTTTACTTTTACTTCAGCTCTACCACGTAAAAATATTGTATCTTTTTTATGAACCGACTTGAAAAAGAGGAGGTTCTCAATTAGAGTGTATATTTTTATGTACGTATGTTACGCGATATCTTCGCAGATTGTGAACCATTTTCAATGATTCTTTTTTTATTAAATAAGTTAAACTTCAAGGGTGGTTCTATATAAATTTGGAGAAAAAAATTCACACCTAAGGGTAGCAAATAAATAACTTATCTCTTAGCAATTTTAAGTCGGTTTTTACCTTTTGTTAAAAGTCATAGTTATTGTATTTTAAACGAGCTATTACGCATTAACCTTCTCATTACAAATGTATTAAATAAATTCAAATACTTCCATATAAATAAAACTATTTTGATCTTTATATAAGTAATTATATTCTGAATGATTTGGTAACAGGGTAGCAGTTTTTCTCAATTGTAGAAACGATGCTCGATGAATATTTTACAAATTTTTGATTGCATATATTATCCCAAAAAGTAATAAGTCTGAAACTTAAAATCATTTTGCAGTAGCATTATTTAATACAAAACAAGACGAAAAATAAGTATATTTTTAAAATGATGCAACTAATAACTAAACTGAAAACAGAAAGTATTAAGTGATAATTATCATCTATGAGTATAAAGTGTATATTATGTATTTATATAATCAAAGAATATCGTTGGTCTTAATATAGAACTCTACATCTTTGCACTCAAGATCGTTTTCGTATTATCACAGTTGCACCACCATTTTCACAAACCTTATATTCTTTATGCAAAAATATAAATTAAACCGATTCGTGTATCCATTAATTTTCTATTTATTATATTTTATGCTAATGGTAAGAACATGAAATGCTATCAAAAGGTTATTTTTCTAGTTTACGTCAAAATAAAAAATAAAAAAAAACCAGATAACTATCCGTCCTTTAATTACTATTGAACGTATTTGCAATCTTTGTGTGGTCTTCAAACTTTAATAAATACAGATAAAAAAATATTACTGCAAGTTTTCTATTCTGTGTTCATATCTAAATATCTAAGCGTTGAACATTTCCTTTTTTTTTATAGGATAAGGGTGACAAACGAGCACACAGTCCACCTAATGGTAACTGGTTGCTGTGGCCCATACACATCTACATCTATCTTCGATTAAGAATCAAAATGCAGATGTGTTGTCACCAGTGAGGACTAAGATGGAATGCCTCGTTTCTAGTAAAAAGGGTCTCCGGTTCTCTACACTCACCATACGAAACACAGCAGCGTTAAGCTGATATTTTACGCTGGTATTCTGTGAGAGCGTGGTCCTTCCCCGGTCGAGCCGACCCATTCGTGCTACAACCATAATATAGCTGCAGCATGGCTCTACCACGTAAAAAACATTGAGCGTGAACATTCAAAAAGTAAAATCTTAATTAAATATGTGGATCCTTCATTGTCTTTCTGTGAAAATCAATTAATTTTCATACATATACCCCATCATGCCCGCCAGTGTCATAAGAGGCGACAGAGGGAAAACGAAACGAGATGGGCAACAGCATATTCCTGATAATAACTCTAAAAAATATATAAAAAACTACCGTCTCTAAACCACCTGCTAAGTGTGTTATCAAATTTATGGAAAAATCGCCATATGAGGCACATTATGGGGGAGGCCTATGTTCATCAGTGGACTAGTAAGCTGTAACGAATGGATGGCCGATCCTGGATACACAAAAGGTAACAACAGTAAATCAATTAACCCTTAAAATTATTGCAATTAAAACTGTATTGATGGAATTTTTTGGAGGCAGCTAGCAAGTCTTATTGACGCATCCATCTGTATGGCAAGTGTAAATAATTTTTTATATAATTTAAAAAATATTACGTCCGACCAACAACAAGATTTGAGTACTCTTAACATGCATTAAGTCGACTAATTCATGCGTAGGAATA